CACAATCTTAGGAGCTAAAGAGATAAGCTAGTGCCAAACACATAATAAAAATTGAATAAATGTTTATTAATTGATATTTAAAATCTTAAGCACCAACTTAGAGAATTAGCAACGTCATAAGGTACTATGCTGTTACTTCATTGTGGTATCTTTCTTTATACTTTTGTTTGTATATTGTAACATACATTCAATAATCCCAAATAATATGTTTCTCTTGGAATTAATGTGCCCTTATTTGCATCTGTCACTTTCTGTACTATGGTAACACTTTACAGTGGACAGACCAAATCACAGTTGGAAAATCATATATTTTAAACACAGGTGAAATAGAAATATTAGCCACAAAGCTTGATCATCATATAAAGTGTTTTATGGAAATCAAGCTTTACTTGAATAGTAATTATTTTTCACAGTCTGACCTGCCTTTCCTTATGTGTCATAGTTCAAGTTTTTTTTTAAGACTGAGGCAGACCAGAAGTGCTTTGAGAAATCAAAAGCCATATTGTGGTATTGACAAATGGTCGTTTCAATTAGGCTTAGTCAACTTCAGTTCTATTCCTTCTGTGAACATTTCTTGAGCATGTGTTCAGAGAATATAGGGATAGGTAAGGCTCAAACCCTATCTTCAAGGAGCTCAAAATGCATACTTTGATGTGATACTCAGGGGTAAATAAACCTGACTGAGGGGACTTTTTGAACTGGCCCTCAAATACACACAGGCTTTTATGATGCAAGCAAAGAATAGACTCTAAGTTGCTCCACATAGGAGGCAGCAGGAGCAAAGTCAAAGAGCTTGAAAGCTTGTGGGGAAGAAGGGGAATGCCAGCCTAATGGAGGCCCACTTGGGTTTCAAGTAGTCTCAGCCATCAGCTATATCACTTCTAGAAAGACAGCTTATTGTAATGGAAAATGATTCAGAGACTGGGGAGACAGAAGAGAAACGTGTGGTTAAGCTATAGGACAAGTTTTAGTGAGAATTGCCAGAACAAGGTCAGTCAGTGGCAGTGGGATTGAAGACAGACTACATTAGATTTGCCATGCAAGAGAGATTAGAAAATGAAAATATCATTATAGTTTCCCAACACAATTAGTATTGAATTGTAGGCTATCACTTAAATCAGCCATCAGTAAGCTACGGCCCAAAGGCCAAATCTGGCCCACCACCTGTTTTTGTACAGTGTTTGAGATAAGAATGATTTTTATGCTTTTAAATGATTGAAAACAAATAAAAAGAAGAAAAATATTTTATGACAAGTGAAAATTATATGAAACTCAAATTTCAGTGTACAGAAATAAAGTTTTATTGGAGCACAGCTATGCTCATTTGTTTATGTATTGTCTATGGCTGCTGTTGTGCTATAATGGCAGAGCTGAGTTGATGCAACAGAGAACGTGTGGCCCAGAAAGCCTAAAAGTCACTACCTGGATCTTTACAGAAATGTTTGCTGACCTCTGGCTTAAGTCGTTGATAGTAATGCTTTGGTACCACCAGCTTTATAGATATTGTGAACACGTTCATTCAAAACTGCTCAGCCGGACTGAGCTGGTGAAACCTGTGAACTAAGAATATCAGTGCCACTTACCATTTCAGAGAATGGGCAAAGAGTTGGAGATCCACTGTTAATCAGTCCATGGTGGTGGTGTTATGAAGGGCTCTGTTCTGGTAAACTTTGCTTTGAAGCACTATGAGTCTCGACTTCTCATTTTCCAGTGCTTGCCATGAGGTTCCTTCGTGTTTGTACTTTTTTCCCTTGCCTTTTTGATGTTGCTGCTTTTCTTTTTTAGTACTCTTCTAAAAATGACACATTAAGAAGTGATAATGATAATGCAACTCTGGACATACAACTTGTCTTCCTTCTGGCAATTTGGGGCTTATAAAAATTTGTGTTTTAACTGCTATATTCATCTGCTATATTCACTGTCTAATCATACATGCCTCCAAATTGAAAAGAAAAATCATTGAAGGAAAGCAACTTCATACCACTGAAGCTGTTAGAATTCGACCAGTGTGTCTGAAAGTGATTTTCCATGAGACAGTTCAGATAATTTTCAACAGGCCACAATAATGATTGGACAAGGGTTTATGTGCAGGAGAGGGTTAATTACATAAGTGTCTGTTAATATGTAAAATGGATTTATTCCTCCATTTTGCTAATTTTTTTGAGCACACTTCTACCACTTCTAATTTGGAGCAATTCAGTATTGACTTGCTTGCTGAGAGAGCAACAAAAAAAGTAATTAAGAAACAGAGTGAATCAGTTTGAAAAGCAATGCCATACAGACTAGGAAGGGAAGAGGTAATGTTACAAGGGAAAAACATCCCAGTAACATGGTCATTACCATTATTATTAATCATTAAAATAATGATAACAATAATAGTCCTTGCTATTTGTACAACAGGACCTCAAAATAATAAAATACTTTATCATTTTTATCTCTACATAGCTCATCAGGTTGTGGGGAGGTCTGGAATTATTATCCCTGTTACTTGTATGGAGAAAATAAGAGAGAGAATTAAATCTGCTGGTACAAGACTATAGAATAAATAAGCTAGTGGCAAGACTCAGAAACATACTTTCTTAATTGTTTATTCAAAGTGTTTTTGATGGATTCTCTTTTCTATTTGTCCCATGCTTTCCCTCTTCTTCAAAGCCACCAAAGACAGCATCACTAAAATAGTTGTGAAAGGTAGGAGTCAGGAAAGGACAGGATACTGACAGGACAGGATACGTGATAGGAACTCCAAGAAAAGACATGTATAATCTTCCTTATTATTTTTTTGTTATTACAAAATTTCTCCCTCCCTCTCTTTTTCTCTGTCTCTCTTTTGTTTAATTCACAAGCCATGATGTTTCTTGTTAAAAAAAAATCCACCAAAACACGAAAAAGTACATAAATTAGAACTAAAGTTTGTATTTCTATTTCACTTCTTACTGTTAATAATTTTGTGTCTCTCTATATATTTTGCTATGCACACACATATATAGTTTTATTCTTGACAAAAACTGGAACATAGAATGCATATTGTTCTGCAACATTTTTTCATTAAAATATATTATTGGCCTTTTGCATACGTCTAGCTTTACTTCATCAATTTAAAGGCTGCATTGTTTTACTTTTCTGTTTTGATTAAAAGTTGGTATAGAACAAATAGAACTTCTGTCTTATATTTCACAATTTTACATAGTAATCATATACTTGTGATAATTATATCATGCTTCCTATAATCACAAATTTATATTCTTCATCTGGCATGTTTTGACATTAGTTGAGAAGCCCTTACCTCCTCATATTCCCCCCAAAGTTTGGCTTACATCTGCTATATGCATCTCCTTTCTTCTGCAACAGGTGAATAGCAAGCATTCAGGGACGAAGGAACAGGAATCAGTTTTTAGGCTTCTTAGGCACATCTGCACATAAAAAAATAACCTCCTTGTGGAGAAGTCTTATTATTGCAGTAATTGCCATTCTAGGAACAGGTGCTTGGAATCCCACTCAAGGGAGAAACTGGAGATGAAAGAGATTGGGGAGAGGAAGATGAAGTTTCCTTGACTACGGCCCTGTGGGAAAAATCACAAGAAGGAGGGAGGAGACCAAATAGAGTCCCTGGAGCCTTCCACTACATCCCAGTGCCTTCAGCAGGGGCAGATCCCCGTAGCGATGACGGCACTATTGATTTTTGTGACAATGTTCCCACAGAACAGAACATCAAGGCAGAGCCAGGATGTGATGATGATGTGGCATGGGCCAAAATGATAATATCACTTCCTGGTCCTATATTACCAGGAAACAGAGTCCCTTTAGGTTCCGTAAGCAAAAATTATTTGCTGTGAAATGCTTCACAGTTTGTAGTAAGTTTTCACATTCATGATCTCATTCTGGGTCCCACAGTCAACCATGTGCTTTAGGCAGAATGGGTACCCTGTCCCTTACTGTCAGATGGAGGAACTTAGCTCAGAGTCTAAATGATTTGTCCAAGCTGGTAAGGAAAGAGCTGGACTCAAAATTCTCTTTATTCTGGTTCAACCCCCCGTGCTCCTCCAGAATAACACCACACTTTCCCTGTAGTCCTCATGCACCAGACAGAGCTCTGGAGATAAGAATACGTGCCATTGATTCTACCAGCATGATAAATATCTCAAAAAATTTAAAATAACAGCATCATATTCAAACTCTTTAGCCAATTCTGACTTATGATTTCATTTTCTCTAGCTTTTAAGTTTGCTTAGCAACCATTATAACACAAGAGAACAGCAACTTTACTAATCAAACCAAAACCAGGTTGACCAACATTTTTCAGTAACATGTGTTTTTGAAGACAGGACACATGGGAGAGATTGAGGGAGTCTCACGCAGAAGGGATTTCCTGCAGCATCACTGAAGTTTAGAGGTAAATATTAGCTCAAATATTCAGGTTCTTTAGAACGGACCTCTGGTTACCTCTTATGTGTATCCTCAAAGTTTGATTGGAAATAAATCAGAAAAACAGAAAGAGAACAGAATTAGAAACTCTATCTGGAAGCTGGTATGCTTCAAGCCGTAACACATTTCATAGGCAGTTTAAGATTCTAGAGTGGTAGAAATAGGCTTTAAATGTTTCGTAGCTCCTACAGTGCCTAACTCAGGATCTTGCACACAGCCAGCTCAATACATCATAAGCTAACATTTATCATAGCACTTTCTACATGCCAGGCACTGTTGTAGGCACTTTACATATAGTAATATGAAAGGAATACATACACTTCCTTACAACAATCCCAGATACTATCATTATCATTTTCATTTTTATAGGTGAGGAAACTGAGGCACAGAGAAGTCAAATTATTTGCCTAAGATCAGACAACCAGAGTCAGGATTGGAAGTAGGGTGTATTCTAAACCAAAATAGTATATACTCCTCCATGAAACTGAGTGCCCTGAATTCCCCAGATATATCTGCTTTACCTAAGAGTGGGCACAGTGTGCACTGTGATATAATCCATCTACTTGCTTTCTTCTCAGGCCAGCTGTGGTGAGGGCAAGGAAGAGAGCTTGTTTGGAGCCCTGGGTTATTGGCCTCATCACCTTTATATCTCTGATTGTGCTGGCAGTGTGCATTGGACTCATTGTTCATTATGTGAGATACAGTAAGTATGGACTGCCCTGGCATCATGATTTACCCCAAATATTTCCTCATGTACATTCCTGTTTTGATTTGCCTCAGGCTTATTCATTCATTACTACAATTCATTTGCATAGCTGGTACAAAGAACTCTTTTCTTGCCTTGTCTCTCATTTAATCCTCACAAACCAAGAAAGATTCTTTCTTCTATCTTTGATGTAGCAATGCTTCCTGCTGAAAATAACATGCTAGTTTTCATATTCATTACTAAGCAATAATCAGTATTAATTAGGGAAGACTGTAGGAGAGCTAGAGTCCAATGTCTTGAGTTGTTTGAGGTCATAGGGCAATCACCTTGATTTAAAATAATTCCAACTCTTTGAAATCCTGACGGTCCAATAAATTAATTATACAATCAGGGATCATAGAGAAGAAGTAGGCTCTATTCTGTACTAGTCAGCTGGAAAAATGCTCATAGTGATATATTGTTGAATAAGTGCCTATTTCTGTTATTTTAAATCTCATCTTGGGGTATACTGCAAGTGATTAGAGAGGACAGGATATGCTGAGAAGCTTAACCAGAAAGAGATTCACTCTGTGCTATTCAGGTACCTCACGCTAGATGAACTATGAACACTGCTATGTTATTGTAAAGGTCCCTAGGGTACTTCAGAAGAGTTCTTCCAAGGTATAACTACCCTTCTGAAGTTTCTGTCTACTTTGCCTCAGGTTTTCATTAGTTGACTCCATTATGACCTATCGGTTTAATATCTCCCTTAGTGACTAGATGATGCTTTGATATTCAAGACCCTGTAACCAAAGAAGCTAATCACTTGATTCTAATTTTATTGGGAATTTGCTTTCCTGTAAAGAGAAATGATGATCTATAAATTGGTGATCTTCTACTAGCAAACACAAGTCCAATCTTAATTTCCCAAATAAGATGGATCATTTCGGGGCAGTTTAAAGAAAAAATATTTAAAGTAAAGATTTTTTTTTGATGGAATTTGTCCACATGTAGGTCTTTGAATTTGGAGTATCTGCATCTTGATATTTTATCTGGGGCATGTTTTTAATAAAAAGAATAGCTAAAATAACTTTACAGTTCTACAGTTCCATTCTGAATATATTGAGTCCCATTATGTTGTAAGCTTCATTATTCCTGTCCATGGATGACTAGGGCTATGTTTTATTCACTTTTGTATTTCCAGAACTTAGCAGGATCCTGGCACGTATTAGATACTTAGTTAATGTTTATTGAATAATGAGTAATAAAATCGAATGAATCATACCTATGATATTTTCTTGGGGCATACTGTGGTTTTTCTGACTTCACAAGGATTTCCTTGTAATGCTAGAGGGTCTCATTACTTGGTGAGAGAAAATATTCCTTACTACTTCTCCTTTGCATCTTCCCAAGCCAAGTGCTATACGGCTTATACATCTTACTCATATGCATACAATGAAAACCTGGCAAGATTTCTCCATTAACCTGTTCCTGGGTCCTATTGGTTAGATGATCAGCTGAGTAATATGAACCACACAACTTCCACTGCCCACACAGCACACCTGAATAAACAACAATTGTTGTGATATGCGTTACTGTCATGTTTGTGACCTGCCCTCCATGTGAGAACGTAAACTAAAAACAGAGTGGTTATAGTACATGAGCATTTGGGAGCTGGAACGCCTAGATAACCAAACTAAAGCAAGCAAAACTGTTACAGAAACAGACAGACAAAGATGGAGGTGATCAGACTTGGAAAAACATCAATTTAGCGTAAAACCCAGGACAGCATAGAATTGGATGTGCTGTTTGTGTTCAGTGGCTTTTGGGGCTACATTTATGTCCCCTCTGTGATTTGAATAACAGAAGGTAGATCTATTATGAGCAACATCATTGTAGGTTATAGAATCACAAATCTGTTGGAAAATTATTAGCAAACTCATGTTCATCTTTATTTTTCTTACTTTTTATTAATATTCCCAATAACATCTTTCAACAACTACACATGCCATCTAATTCTGGCAACTGGCAATATGTTTTAACATTTAGTGACCTATTTGAGTCTATTGAGAAAAGTAAAATATCGACTGTAGATAAATTGTTCATCTGGTTGAGGCATGTGAAATTGCCTGTATTTGACTATTTTTGACCTATACAAATGACAATTTCAAATTATTCAATCTAATAATTGAAAAAAAACCAGATCTAAGGATGTAGAAGAATGTTCTCTTCCTCTTTAGAACTTACTATTCAATGTGTGATTAGGTACCAGCAGCATCAGCATCACCTGCGAGCTTGTTAGAAATGCAGAATCTTGGGTCCAACTTTAGACCTAATGTAAACTATTGGTCAATATTTCAATAAATTAAAAACTTTGCTTGAAATTGGTATATTGCCAGGGACCTGCCTGCATTTCAGGTCACACTGGCCATTCAGGGCAAGACCATTCAGTGGAAGGGAGGTGAGGAAGGCAAAACCTTGCTAGGCCCTCACTTATGTGACTAATGCTCAGGAGACCCTGACCTTTCAGTGTCTCTGGCCTGTCCTCTATCTCCTTTATGTGACACCCCGGGCCTTGTCAGAGTCTGACTGGTGGCTTCCCTCTCTGTCCCACCAAATACTCTGGACAGCCAGGATGTTCTTTTGAAATTTACCAGTATATTTTTTTGCATAAGTCTTACATAATGAGAAATTTATCCTATAGCCTCAATGAGTGGGTTTGGTTTTTTCCCACCCCAAGAAGTGGTGTTTAAAAAAAGTTTGTGCTTTGGAAGTTAGACTTTGGCTTGAAACCCAGTTTGATCTTTTCTAGCTATGTCATGTTGAGGTTGGAAAATTTATTTACATTTCTGAGACTGTAGACCTTATCTGTTAAATGTGGATAATACTGCCTTCCATGGGGTTATGTTAGTTTCTTTTTCCTCCGGGGTTTAAGTGAAGATAGAAAGAATGAGAAGCAGGAGAGAAGAGGTGAGAAATTGAGATTGGGTGAGGCATGTTCTGTTTTTCTATAGTAACCATATGGAACAGTCTTGATCACCATTGTATTCCTGATTCTCGACATAGGATTCTCTCATGGAAAAGGTATCCAGTGTTAATATTTGTTGAATGAATCTTTGGAGGGCTCTGTGCTTGCTTCATGTACAGGAGGTTAGAGGAAAATCTATGCAGCATTAATTATTCAGCAGGCCAGAAACGAGGGCTGCTTAAATTGGATGCAGAAAGTGGATACAATGGCCAAGGAAGCAGATAAGATAATCCCTGTGGCTGGAGGGAGAAAATAAATGGAGTGACAAGGGAACCAGGTAAAACTAAATAGCTTTCCTGGAAGGTTATGTCAGGTTGCAGCTCTAGCTCCCTAAACTTCTATATATTGAACCCCTAGCATTTTAATCCCTATACTCATCTTCTTTAGCCAAAATAAATTTTCTTACACTAGAGTCCTGTAGCCCAAATTGATGTGTAGTTTACTGAATTGGGAAAAAATCTACTTTTGGAATATAAAAATGCATTTACTCTTGGGAAGCTTCCAAATCCATCCCTTTGTGTATGCTCGGATGTCATGACTTGCTGCTTCCTGTGGCTTATTCAGGAATGGATAATATATGACTAATTAACCCACAAGAACACCAAGCATTTCTTACTGCTTTTACACTCTAAATCTTTTGATGATGAATGTTGTTGTCTCTCATTCTGCGATAACCATGAAGCTCAGGGCAGGATGATGAGACGATGACCTGGGTAGTGACATTCTTTACTGTCTCAGTCTTTGTAGCAACCATCAAATGGGGAAATGATAATGCTTTACACACATCTCATGAAAAGTATGATGGGCTTTTGCCTCTTTCCTTATAGATCACAGGAAGACCTACAATTACTATAGCACATTGCCATTTACAAGTAACAAACTATATGATAACTTTGGAAAAGAGGCTTCTAAAAATTTCACAGAAATGAGCCAGAAAATTGAATTAATGGTAAGTATTTTTTCTCCATTTCTAGGGCACATGCTATTACTTTTTACCATAATTTTTAGTATCTTAGTTTGTAAAATATCCATTCCACTGATCTTGCAATCTTTGCAAAATGGGAAGAGGCCCTACCTGAGAGAGAGAGAACAAAACTGACAATAGATGACTTGGAGAGTATGTCTGGCAGGGATGAACCAAGTGACCTTCAGCCATTCTTTTATTGTCCCTCTTACTCTTCCTTAGCTAAAGCTACACTTTTGATCAACAGAATCCAGAATTCTGGGAATGTAAGGGTGACCCAAAAAAAGGGTTGTTGTATCCTAGACTTCCTACAGAAGAGACATTGAGCAAAAGACCACAGGATTGAAACTATTCAGACACATATTTGAATAGTATTTTTTAGTATTAAAAAATATCTAACCTTGGACCAGTTTTTGGCACATAAGGCTATAGGAAACCCATGGATACTCATCTCTATCCTTAAGGTGTCGACATTCATCCTGAGGGATAAATCAAATATTTCAAAAAAATAGAAAAATTAGCAGTATAGGCCAAAAGAGCAAGGGCCTGTGTGATGACTTCTCATCATTGTCAGATTACTTAGAGAACAATTTGGACTTTTCCTGATAGTCTGTGAGATAATTAGTGGTATGATGTGATAGAAAGCACCCTACACTCGGAGTTGGGACACCTTATTCTAGTACCACCTACTAGCTAGTGTTGTGTCATTTGGCAAATCACTTTATCATTCTGAACAAATTTCCCTTTGTGAAAGTTAAAGCACTAGAGTAGATAATTTCCAAATTGTCTTCTAGTTCCAATATCCTGTGTAAGAACAGAATGGCAGTGACCCACCTGGAAATTTCCTGGTAGACTAGAAGCTTGAGAATTTTGATACCTTGCTAAGGAAGAGGTCAAATCCTGGTTGATATGTACTTGTAAACACCAAATCTGAGTAAGCTCTTCTCTAAGGCTAAATATATGTATAAAATAAAGAGAAGGAAATGGAACTAAAAAGATCAAGAAAAGATGCAACTATTTTCCTTGTTCTTTGTGCCATTCACTAAAATAAATTTTATAAGATCCAGACTGACTTAAATATAAATGAATATAGATGGGACTCTTTAATACTCTTCAAAATTAATGATAACTTTGAAATTATTTGATAAAAAAATAAACCCTTAAATAAAAATTTACAGGCGAATGCTGTCATTAGAGAACTCATTTGTATTGTGCTGATTTGTCTCAGAATTGAAGTAACTGTCCTTGGGTGCAAAGACTCAAGAGTCAATGAAATTTAAAGAAAGAATAAAAAGGCTCATTGTTTCTGTCAGTCAATTACCAGCTTGTAGTAACTGTGTTTGGCAAATATCCACACGCTGAAAACACGAAACACTTGACGTGTTTACCTAGATTCCTAATTTAAAAATTTAAGTTAGCTAGAATTCTTATTTATAGTAGTAAAAAATATCTCCACAAAATACATTCTTCCACCTTATTAGAGTAAGCCTTATAGGACATATTAGGCTAAGTATCCCAGTTCATATGGGCCTTCCTAAGAGCATTTTGAGTGCTGAAGTGGGTGCAGATTATGCCAGGATATTTGGCGACTTTTTCACCAGGTTTGGGAGCCAGGTGACTGTCATGCACTCATTTCCATGACCCAGCTATCACTTGGCAGAATTATTTCATTTCCTTTGTCTACCTACAGTAAAAATCTATGTCTCAGGGTGTGAATGCTTACCTTTTCTTTTCAAAAAACTGTATGTTTATTCTCTTTTGTCTCTTTCTCAGTGTAACACAGCAGAGGTCACTGTTGGTCCCTCTGCTTTGGTTCCCGTAATCCTATAATTCCTAAGGCAGAGTTCAGTTGAAATCACTGAGTAGAATACCAAAAAAGATTCAAGATTCCTCAAGTTCAGCACATTGTGAAATATCAGTTCATGTGTTTTGTTTTTAAATTTTTAAAAAATTTTTTAAGCTTTGAATTAACTTTCAGAATTTCAGAAAATTGTTCTTAATGACATATTTTGAATATTTTTGGAACAGGTGAAAAATGTCTTTCATAAATCTTCATTGAGGGGAGATTTTGTCAAGTGTCAGATTATCAAGTTCAGGTATGTAGATCTAAAATGCTGACTTCTGAATATAATTTAAAGCTAAAGCTGTTAACCGCGTCAGTAATAAATACTGTTTGAAGTGCTAATAATATGATGTAATTCAATTCAACAAACATTCATTTGGCACCTGTTCTGTGTAAGTCATCGGTTACAATGTGCTTACTCATTCTCTAAACCCAAAAGAAAGCATTTGCAAGATGTTTGCAAGGGACAGAGGTGTTATTGGTGGCTATGTTATAGCATTGTTTTTTGGAAACTCTAATTAGCACAAATAGGGACCTAAGCCACATCCCTTGGCTTACGAGCAAATAGTGCCCTATGTAAAATAGTGTAGTAGATGAGGTTTGTCTTTACCTCCTGATTCTCCTTCTTATCAATTTTCCTCACTTTCTTCCATTCCAAATATTTCTCTTTCTGCTCCAAAGTTTAAGAATATTTCAGATCTCTGATCATCAACCATCAATAAATAGGAGTTCAGAGCACAACATTTTAAGCAAAATGCCATATGAGGATCTTAAATAATGTATTGTCTTAATACAAATTATTTGTATTTTTCAAAAGTAGGATAAGAGCTGGGGTTGGCCCAGTGCCATAGTGGTTAAGTTTGCACCCTTCGCTTCGGCAGCCCAGGGTTCGCCAGTTTGGATCCTCAGCATGGACATACGCACTGCTTATCAAGCTGTGCTGTGGCAGTCGTCCCACATATAAAGTAGAGGAAGATGGGCAAGTATGTTAGCCCAGAACCAATCTTCCTCAGCAAAAAGCGAAGGATTGACAACAAATGTTAGCTCAGGGCTAATCTTCCTCACCAAAAAAAAAAAAAAAGAATAAGAAGTGTTTCCAATATTATTTCAGTGACACAAACCCCATGAGTTATTTCTCAGTCTATTAATTAGCTGATATCTCTGAGGTGTTCCTTTGACTACTTTCTCCTGAAAATTCTATACTCTCTGGTGTTTGAAATATTGTTCTTCCTTGGATCTATTTCCACTTCTCCAAGCCTTAAATTTTCACTCCCTCAGGAAGACTTCATCCACCCACATGGCTTCATATACTATTGAAATCCAAGTTTCTATTTTCAGTCTAAACTATTTTCCTGATTTCTAGAATTATATGCCTGCTCATGCACATCTCCACACGGGATTTCCACAGAAAATTCTTTAACTCGAGGAAAACTCAATTACACCAATGGTAAACCTAGAACTCATCACACACTCCTCCCTTTCCTGGGACCCTCACACTTTACGAATAACTAAATTCTACCAATTCTATCTTCCAAATCACTTTCCATTTGGTTTACCTCTTTATCTTAGTAATCTTGGTACTGATTATTCTTTCTTCTATTACTGTAGTAGGAAAAAGCGTAAGTTTGTTGGAAAGATGAAGTCAGTCTTGGACATGTTGAGTTGGGATACTAGGGGACCATATGAGCTTGAAATATGAGTCTGACTTGGGAAAGGAAAAGGGAACTGAGCTGAAGATACACATTTGCTCATCATCTACTCAAAGTATTGGGAAGTTTGGGTGTGAATGGAATTTCTCAGAAAAAGGGTAATGTAAGAAAAAAAAGGATGATGAAGAAAGCTTGAAGAACAACAATATTTAAGGAGATGAAAGAAAAATAAGATCCTAGGAAATAGATAGGGAGGGATCAGGAAAGAAGAAAAATCACAAGAGAGGCAACAGTGATGATAAAGACAGAAAGTTTCAAGAAGAGAGTGATCAGCATTGACAAATACTCCTAAGAGACCAAGTAATATTACTAGAAAGAATCCACTGGCTATGTCAGCGAGGAAGTCACTTAGTGTCGAGAAAAGACTCCGTGGAACGGAAGAGGAGGAAGCAGACTGCAATGAAGTAAATATGAGGCAGAATATAATTTATCCTTTCAAGAAGGTTTGCTGTGATAAGAAGGTGAGAGATAAATTGAATAGCTGGGGAAGAGAAAGGGTTTTGTTTGTTTTTGTTTCTATTAGACAGCCAGTATGGGGATTGTTTAAGAGATAGAAGAAAGAGTAAATTGATGTACAGAGTTGCAAGGCAGTGAAAGTGAATGAGATACATAAAAATAATCTCTTTAAAGCCCTGTTTCTTCAGATTACAAGAGCAATAAAAAATACATAAAATTCAAATAACATAATATTACATAAAATAGAAAGTGAAAACTCCAATAATTCCACTCCCAGAAATAACACATCTTCTTAACAATTTATTTTGCACTTCTTTCCAGTGACTGCATATAGATATATTTCATTCTTTAGCTGCTTGTATAGTGTTTCATTACAACTATGTGTCAGGGTTGATTTAGCCAATGCCTTTTTGATGCAAGCTTGGGTTGTTACATATTTTTCTGATTTAAAAACAAAGTTACCATTAATATATGTATACATATCTCTTTGCACACACAAGAGTGTATTTGAAGATTAAATTTCTAAAAGTAGAAATACTGTATCAGAGAGGAGAGATAATCAAAATTTATAATAGATAAATAAAACTGCTCTCTAAAAATAAGATTCTAATTTATATTCCCATTTACAGTTTATGTGAGTAGGGGTCGATGCAACGTATAGTGAGGAGTAAGATTCCTTGGGAACTGGTTGTATGTGAAAAAGAGAGGGTAGAGTAGCTGACAGAGCATGAGAAAGGGCAGTCAAGGATGATTCCAAGGTAGTAACTCATTCAAATAACACTAAGGCTAATTAACGCTCTACCTTGAAAATACAATCTCATGAAGTCAATACAATTTGGTCAAGCTTTTGAATATTATTCGGATTAGCAGTTGTTTAGGAAAGCCTGAAGTTTGCTTAGGAGAAATCACTGGATTTAAGCCACTGAGAATTAAGCCTGAAAGCCAAAGCCAGAGTTGATTTTATATTCACCATATATTATATTTGATAATTTTGAATGGATGACAAGAGAAGTATCTTTTTCTATTAATAACCGTGTACTTAACTAGATTGTTTGGTGGTAAGTGAGATTGTGAACACACTAGCTCACTATCAGGGAGGCTGAGTTGGAAGTTCTATATGTGGTAAACCATAGGAACATAGAAGGAAACAAATTCGATCTTTTAAAATTACATTTATGGTTTTGTGTATGTGTATATTTCAAATGAATGATAAAGAAAAATATGTTGTGATATTACCATGAATATTATTCAAAACTATATCTTTTAAAATCCTATTTTTCTTTCTGATCCCAAGTCAAGAGGAACATGGAGTGTTGGCTCATATGCTGCTGATTTTTAGATTTCGCTCTACTGAGGATCCTGAAACCATAAATAAAAATATTCAACGTGTTCTACACAAAAAGCTGCGAGATGCTGTAGGACCCCCTAAATTACACCCTGAATCAGTTGAAATAAAAAGTAAGTTTATTTCTCTTATTTAGTTTAATTCTCTTACATAGAATAGCTCCATGTTAAGTTTGGTCTTGGGCACTGATTTAGAAACATTTTTTTGGATGTCTCTAATTATGGAGTCTTGCCACCAACAGAGTATTTCTTTGAGACTAAATTGGTCCTAATGAAGTATTTTAATTTTTAAAACTACCCTAAACTTATGCCTCCCATGCAAGCCTGTCATTAACTCCTGGGCCTGGATTCCTCTTTTATATTGGGCCTTGCACCTTAGCTATAGAATCCAATGATAAATGGAGAAAGTGGCTTTGTATATTTGTTCCTCTTCTTTTTCTTGTTGCTACATTTTACATTCAGTATAGTGTGTGGAAAGGTTCATGCCATCCATATGTTTGCCTTCAAATGGCATTGATATATTTTGATATATATATATATATATTGATATATATAGCTTTTTCCCTTAGAACATTAACCAATGAAAAATTTATAATTTATTTATACTTATTTTTGGTATATTTTACAACGAATTTGAAAAGTCTGAAGGTTTTGTTGTGTGTGTGTGGGAGACAGGGGGATGAAATAAACAGTGATAGGTCCTCATTATTAGAAAGTAAGAAACAGGAGATCTCAGTGGTAATGAAAGTCTGGTTAGCGGCTTCCAGGCTGTCACGGGCAAGCGAGCACAGCTCCGTGCCAAAGCTAACTAATTTGCTAATCACCACTGATTTTGCAAAGTGTGTTGTGGAGATCTGGCTGGACAGGTTTACCAGCAGAGTGGATATACCATTGTATTAAAATCAAGATAGACAAGCTGCCAAGTTCTTTGGCGTGTGGCTGGTTGGTCTGAAATCCTTGCAAGATGCCGATGCTCAAGCTGTTGACATGCTCATTGCCTACTTTAACAACTGTCAGAGAAACATGATGGGGTAAGGCGGTGCTTTTTTAAAATCGTTCATAGACTTCTGTAAAATGCAAGATAAATTAAAGTTATTATAACAGTGAAAAAAAAAAAAAAGTCTGGTTAAGAGCTAAGTCATGTGCTATAAAATGATGCTAGTCTATAGAAATACTATGCAAACCACATGTACGATCTTAAATTTTCTAGTAGCCACATTAAAAAAGTAAAAGTAAACATGGGAAATTCATTTAAATAGTTAGTATATTTAACCCAATATATTTAAAGTAATATTATTTCAACAAGTAGTCAATATGAAAATTATTCATGAGATATTTTATATTTTTTTTTTGTACTAAGGCTTTGAAATCTAGTGTATATTTTATTTTTATAGCACATTTCAGTTTAGACTAGCCACACCTCAAGAACTCACTAGGCACATGTGGTTAGAGGATACTGTATTGGATATGGCAGCACTAGAAACTAGAGAATAGAGGATGAGTAGAAAGAATGAATACGAAGTGCTAACACAAAAGCTAGTAGACCTAACTAGAGACCTAACCTGATGGTCAGCCACCTTACGTGCTTAGAAAGGGAGGTTTCACTAGTCAGGGCCAGTTACATAATTTGTGGGGCCCAGTGCAAAATGAAAATATTGCACTCTTCAAAAAGCAGTAAAAAAGGGCTGTTAAAGGTACTAAAATATAAGATTTTTCTTTCTTTCACAGTCTGTCTTGACTTATGGTATTTTTATTTACTAACTAAAGTCATTCTAAATAAAAAAATTAAAAGTTAAATTACTAGCATGCGTTTTACTGTTTACCTTCATGCTGTGAAATGTCAATTGCAAATATAAGAGCATTTAACTTCTATGTATGTGGAATCATGAAAATTATACAGCTGTACTTCAAAGCTCATACATGTATGTATTTTGGTTCTTACCAGATCAATGGAAACACTACACAAGGCTAGCTCAACCTTTTTTATTTCCCTTGATGACATGCGCAAATTTTACGAACACCGTCTACGTTCAGCTTAAGTGAAGAAGGACTGAAGGGTTCTTCTATGTCATTATTTTCAGCAGAAGCTACTGGCTAATAAAGAAGTAATGGGAGAAAGAAAGGATATGATAGGGTCCCTTGGTTGTCTGTGACTATTAGAATGTCATTGCTTTCATTCTGTGTTCTAAGCAAGCTCTGGTTCAAACAGAAAACATGGCCTCCTGGGACTGTCAGTGCCTTCTGCTTACTTAGTGGTAGACATCACACATTTATCTTGTACTCACTTTGAGTTTGGTGAACATTGTGGGTCCACTGGAATTCTGGGTTCAGGGGGTATTGTGAAGGATATATGCAAATGGGGCGGCAAGAACTCATGGAAATATATATTGTGTGTATCTCCTCTGCTCATGCCATGCTCTATTATCCTATAGGACTTCACTTTCAAAACACAAATTATGAGATTAAAATTATTAAGAATTTCAAGACAGTGAGCACTAAAATAAATGCAAGGTCATGCTGAGGGTAGCAGCAAGTGTAGATACAGAAGTCACACATCTCTTAGGCGGGCCTTGTCAGTATTGTCAATATGCGAAGCCAGAACTTTCTCTAGGAAAAGCTTGAGATAGAAAAGAACAAATTATTTAAACAGAGAGATTAGTGCTGGTGCTTTTTAATATTTACTGAGAATAAATGGTCTTTCTTCCTTATTTATGCCATTTTCCCCAAAAATAGCCTGAATGGAGAAAGTCAGAAAGAAGCCTTTCTAGAATACAAATTTCTAGTAAATCATTACTATTAAACACTAAAAGAAAAATTAACAATAAAATTTTTGCATTTAGAACTCTCATCCTGCCATATTCAAAGAGAATAGTTTTGGTCTTTGGAAATCTACTGAGTCAGGAAATTTGAGTGCTTGGAGTTTTACGTATCTGTTGGTTGACTTAGTGTTTGCATAGGGTTAGGCACCGATTGGTGAGAAGTCAACAAGCCAAGGAGCCATTGGCTAGAGTTGAATGACAAGTTGAGGGCAAATTGTCTTGCTGAAACTTCAGCAACAAGAAAACCTAGAAAGAGATAATATTGTTTTTAAATGGGAGTGAAGACTAATTTCTGGAGATGCCATTTGGATATATTATACAAATGGCATATACATATGCCTATGAGTTTAGTAAAATAATCTGAAATAATGGTCAATAAAAATATTATTGCATTTGGGGAATCAATACTACGGCTTAGACCAGTATTTCCCCAAAAGAGACTGTGGACAACTTGCATCTTATTTCTTGGTATAGAGCTCAGATTACTGGGCTTCAACACAAAACTACTAAATCAAAATTACTGGGAAAAGAAACAGGAATTTACAATACAAAGATACTCCCTATGTGACTCTGATCCATACTAAAGTTTAAGAAACATTGTTCAGATCTCCCTTCTCCCCAAGGCAACGAACACACAATGTCTATGATAAACTAACTGTGTTGCTTTCTTTACAACCTAAAGATACTATCTTATAACAGAATTCAGCAGCCTTTAGTATTTGAAGTACTTGAGGCATGATGCAGTTCTGATGTGCTGACCTTGTTCTATTCACCTTTTCTGTGTATTTCAGAAATCAACAAGACAGAAACAGACAACTTTCTGAACAATTGTAAGTTTAATATATTTATTAAAATCGCATCGCCTGAATGTAAAAAGTTAGCACTAGGTCATTTAGGCTTACTTTGTGTGGTATTACAGGGTCAGAGTAAAGTTTGATTGACCTGTACACAGCTTATGGTGACTTATCTTATCTCCGAGGCACACTTTATTGCTTAAGAGTAACAACATTGGGAGAACTTTGGAGTGGATGTATGGGTGCCTGTGGCAGACGTGGAGTGGAAGTGAGTTGTGCAGTTGTTAAAGAGGCAAAAAACACTCACTTCTCAATCTTCTGATTGCAGATATCTGTTGTATACTCTCACAGAAGTTTTCTAAAAGTTACATAAAAATAATCTGTCTGTTGGTATTTTTTAGCTAGAGGCAGAGACTTATTGTTACTCTATAGTAAATAAACTCTTCTTGATGTTATTAATCTCGTTATGGAAATTGCAGTCAATTACGGAGTTGGGGTATATGTTGATGAAATTACTGAAGAGCCAAATAATATCTTCACCCATATTTTAAAAGTGTCCATATTTTAAAAGTCTAGTATTTCCCTTCCCCTGTAGCAGAGTATCCCACCATGATTTAGAGAACACATTTGATGGTTATGGAATTAGTACAGAATACATTTCTCTTAAAAGATGGAAGGAAATGTGCAGCTGACCAGCTCAGAATGTTGGTTAATTCACAAACTTAACTAAACATGAGACCAAAGGATAATCCCATTATTTCAATGGCATATATTCTTGCCATCAATATTTACTGGGAACCTACTATATGCTAGTGCTGTGTTAGGCAACAGGGATATAAAACGGATGAGATGTAACCCCTGCCTAAAGCAGCTTATATTAAAATGGGACTAGATGTATGAGACTAATGCATGAACATATCACTCTAAAACAACAGTTCTCAAACACGAGCAATTTTGACCCCCAAGGGATTATGCCCCACTGTGGCATTTTGGTTATCATCATTGTTGAGGAGGGGGCTGCTATTGGCACCTGGTATGTACAGGCCAGGGATCTTTCTAAACATCCTATGATGCACAGGACAGCCCCCCACAAAAAGAATTATCCATACCAACATGTCAGTAGTGCCAAGGTTGAGAAACCCTGTAATAAACAATGTTGAAGAATATATATATATATATATATACACACACACACACACACATACACAGAGAGAGAAAGAGATACATATGTATATACATACATGCACATATATAGATAAATATTGTTATTATTATTTATATTAATATTATTATTATTTTTCATGGAAACATCAAGAAAGTCCTAACTAATCCAGTTTGGGCGTAGGAGAATTGTTAGAGAAGGCATCCTAGAGGAGGTAATGACTGATTCAAATCTTACAAGATGAGTAGGAGTTAAATAAATGAGACAAAGCAGTTTAAGGTAAGAACGGGAGAAAATGTTTGATGCTATTGGAGCACAACATACAAGAAATTTGGGACATAGTAACACAATTTTATACTTAAACACAGCTGCTAATACATCACTTCTCTTTGGCAGGCTGTGGGACACGAAGGAGTAAAACTACAGGACAGGGTCTCAGGATCGTTGGTGGGACAGAGGTTGAAGAGGGTGAATGGCCGTGGCAAGCTAGCCTGCAATGGGATGGGATCCATCGCTGTGGAGCAACTTTAATTAATGACACATGGCTTACGGGTGCTGCTCACTGCTTTAGAACGTAAGTCCTGAACCTTGAGAATGATTAGGGATAAGCAAAGTGCACTGGGGCTTGGCAGGAAGGAAATACCTCATGAACCTTGAGAGAGATGAGTTTAGCATAAATTAAAGATAACGTATACAACACAAAGAGAGTGGGAAACTCATAAACCTTAATAAGAGGTTTTATAGTCTGGAAATGGCATCAATGTACATGTAGCTAAGTTATCCATTGATAGACACACAATAATTTGTCAAAGGAAGCAGGAATTTTAAAGTCGTCTTTGGATTTTGAGCTTGATATCAAAGAGAAGACCCGTATCTCTCTGCTGCATCTTTATCGGAGATAGAGGCTAGATGGATTGTAGGTTTGACTCCAACAGGGAAATTCCACATCGTAAGAAAGCATTAAATACAAGGAAATTTGGTAGTACAACTGAAAAGTTGGTATACAACTGAAAAGATTGACTAGTTATATTCCAAGGAATGCAGACTTTTTAACCTTATGCAAAATGCCTACAACATACAGGATAGAAATGCTTTGTTAAATTATTGTGTAGCCTTTTTGGTTTTCAGAGAAATGTGTATGTTTTTGGGTAGGTGACATGGTGCACATAATACATTTAGTTCTCTCATTCTGTATAGGATATGCTTTCCATATATCCCTTGGAGTTACTGATGCCCTAACATATCAAAAGGCCCTAGGATTTGGAGTGAGTGACTTGGCATGCAGAATGGCATGTATATCCTAAGAAACATGCCACTGTGTCATTTCCATCGCATCTGACCCCTGAGCCTGATTCTCAGATTGGAAAGTTTGTTTCTATACATAAAAACTATAACTTAGAAAAGAAAACTTGTATTGATACCTGCAGACTAAATTGTTTAATATAAATCATTATATTGGTAGCACGGTGAAGTGGAATTTATTCTTCACACTTTCCCCCCAGCTATAAGGACCCAGCCAGATGGACTGCTTCCTTTGGAGTTACAATAAAGCCTCCAAAAATGCAACGAGGCCTCCGGAGGATAATTGTCCATGAAAAATACAAATATCCATCACACGACTATGACATTGCAGTTGCAGAGCTTTCTAGCCCTGTTCCCTACACAAATGCAGTACACAGAATTTGTCTCCCTGATGCGTCCCATGAGTTCAAACCAGGTGATGAGATGTTTGTGACAGGATTTGGAGCACTGCAAAGTGATGGTAAGCATCTTAAGAAAAACTCAAATCATAGTGATCTAGTTTGGTATTCTAAGGCATTTAAAGAATGGATGTCATTATGCCAGAATATGTTGGTGGGTTGGTCATATGGACCTGGGCCAAGTCAGGCCTTACTTGTGAACCAAGTCATTTAGAAGACACATAAATTCCTTCATGCTGTAGGTTACTATCAAATGCATCACTACTACTGTAGTAATGGTGCTTGGTAAGGTGTCTGAAAGAGTAAATATGTCTGAAATTTTTACTAGGGAATTACCCACGTAAGAGATTAGGGATTATTAATATACTCAACTGTGAATACTAGATAATTATAAAGCCACCATTCTCTGCTACTAAAATTACCTTCTAAGCTTAACAATGGAATGGAAATTACTTAAACAACTTGAGGTTCTTTCCGAGGCACCTAATTTTTCATTTAAAATAGGAAAGAATTCTCTTCCCAGATATTACTGTATCTGAAAAAATATATATCCTAAGATTCTTTATCACCATCTTATCTTCAGGTTTATAGAATATATGTATATCTACAAATATAAAGAATATTTTTTCACTAGGTAACACTCAAAATCATCTTCAGCAAGTACAGGTGGATCTTATAGACACTAAAACCTGTAACAAACCTCAAGCTTACAATAATGCCATAACTCCTAGAATGCTATGTGCTGGCTCCTTGCAAGGAAAAAGAGATGCATGCCAGGTAAGTGATTTGACTGACTAGTATGCTGCATAATTTTTTTTCACCTTTTATTTTGAAATAATTATAGATTTGCAGAAAGTTGCAAAGATATTACAGAGGGGTCTCATGTACCCTTCACCCAATGTTCCCCAGTGGTTACATCTCACATAACTATAGTACAATATAAAAGCTAGGAAATTGACATTGGTACAATGTGTGCTTCTGGTTCTATGGCATTTTTTCACACGTGCAGATTTATGTCACCATCACTGCAGCTGAGAACTATTTCATCAACACAAAGATGTACCTTTATAGTAACACCCACTTCCTTCTCCCATCACTGTCTCATCACTAACACCTGGCAATCACTAATCTGTTCTCCATCTCTATAATTTTGTAATTTCTAAAGTGTTATATAAATAGAATCATATGATAACATTTTTTTTATAATTCCATTTTGATTTATCTGTTAGTGTTTTTGACTAGACTATCTCTTTGTAGAAAAATTTTCAGAGGTCCCTGAGGTTCTGAACATTTTTTCTTTTCCATTCCTTTCTCTCTGTTGTTCAGACTGGGTAATTTCTATCATTCAATTTTCAAGTTCACTGATTTTTAATTCTGTCATCTTCATTCTTCTGTTAAGCCTATCCAGTGAGTTTTTTCAATTTTTTTTTTATCATTGTATTTTTCAGTTCTAAGATTTCCTTTTGATTCTTATTTATATCTGCTATTTCTCTGCTGAAACTTCTTATTTTTTTCATTTGTTTCAAGCATGGTGGTAATTGCTCATTAAGATATTTTTGTGATGGCTGCTTTAAAATCTTTGTCAGGTAACACCAACATCTGTGTCATCTCAGTGTCAGTGTCTGTTGATTACCTTTCTCATTCAAGTCGAAATTTTCCTGGTTCTTGGTATGATGAGTGATTTTCAGATGTATCCTGGACGTTTTGAGTATTATGTTATGAGACTCTGGATCTTATTTAAATCTTCTGCTTTAGCAGGCCTCCTCTGACATGACACTGGAGAAGGTAGGGAGGTGCTGTCTCCTTCCCCACTCATCCTCTTTTGACAGCTGGGTAGAGGAGTAGGGCCTCATTATGGTTGGATAGAGGTGGAATTTCAGGTTCCCCACTGGGCCTCCTCTGATACCACTCTGGGAACTAGAGTTACTGCTGGGAACACATTACTGCTCCCCTTGTGGCCACCACTGACATCTTGGGGTAATGGCCTCATTACTGCTTGGCAGTGGTGAAAGTCCTGACTCTCCACTAGATCTCCTTTGACATCACCCTAGTGGGAGAGAGAGTTATGCCTTGTTGCCAATGGGTGGTAGTCCATGCTCCCCAGTTGGTCACTACAGGGGAGAAAGAGGAGAGCTTCATTATCACCTGGCAGGGACGAAGGTTTGGCTTCCCACTCAGCCTTCTCTGACACCAGTCTGGTGGATTGGGCCTCAAGACAGCCTGGTAATGGTGGAAGTCTAAGCTTCCCACCTGCCCTTTGCTGGTGGGAGTTGGGGTGGGGCCACAGTTTTTTCTGTCTGGCTGGAGTAGAGAAGATGTTGTCTAAAAGTCTTCTGTTTTCCTATGTTGCCATCTTTCTGGTTCTTTGGCTAGAAAGAAAAGGCTATTCTTTTTTTGTTTTGGGGGCTTTTTTTGGTGAGGAGGATTGGCCCTGAGCTAACATCCGTTGTCAATCCTCCTCTTTTTTTTGCTTGAGGAAGAGTGGCCCTGAGCCAGCAGCTGTGCCAAGCTTCCTCTATTTTGTATGTGGGTCGTTGTCACAGCATGGCTTGATGAGCCATGTAAGTCTGCACGTGGGATCTGAACCCGCAAACCCAGGCCACTGAAGCGGAACACACCGGACCTAACCACTATGCCACCAGGCAGGCCCAAGAAGGCTACTCTTGATGCTTTTCATCTGCACCTGTTGGCAGGTTGCCAGGTTGCTGGTTTCTTCAGGTCCAAGTCCAGGGTACCTTTTAGAATCTTTTTATATTTATTTTATTTCTAATGTCCAGGGTTTTTCTTTTTCTTTTTCTCTCTTTTATTTAAAGCTGTATTTGGCTTGAGCAAAAGGAATAAGTAAGTTTATTCCATCTCAGGCAGAGCATAGACATCTTTTTGAGCCCTGATTTTGCTTTCCAGTATGTAGGCTAGCACTGTCAACTTTGTGCCTTTGCCAAATATGACAACTATGACCTCTATGTCTTCATCCACATTGCTGATAAAATCTTGGAGGAGGCCAATAACTGACTTCTTGGGTATCTCGCTAAACACCCCTATAATTTTTATTTTGTGATTTGACAGACTTTTTGTTTAATGTGCTCTGTTAGCCCCATATTAGTCTTTAAAATTTCATGTTACTCTGTATGCTTCCAATCTGGATCCATAGAGTGGTATATCATTCATTTCTAAGATTGTTTTTAGAACTTTCCATGTTTTTTCTCTCACATATACATTGCACCTGTTTTTTTGCTTTCATTGGGTCCACTACCCTTAATCTGCGACTGACTTCACCAAGGTCCTTTCCCAACTTTTATCTCTGGATTGGTCACTTGAGCACTGTTCTGTAGGCTACATTGAACTCTTTCACCCAATTGACCTTTCTTCATACTTCTGGCAAATGCTCAAGATTGTACTCACTTTGCTGTGTTTCTTTTTCTGCTCTGAGGCCCTGATTGTTTGTGGAGGAAGATATGGAACAACATAGATTGGTCCCATTACAAAATTTTACAGAAAATTCAAGTCAATTCTGTAAATAAATCTACCAAAACAAAACCAACTTAGTAAAAGATTTCATTGGATCCTTGTTATTTGCAGATTCTGTACTTGGAAAATTACATACTTGCTAAAATTTGCTTGTAAACCCAAAATCAATACACGAGACACTTTCCTGATCATCCTTGAACATGAGCAGAATGGCAAAAAAATGAGTCACTCAAATGCATACACTGTCACCTGAGGTTGAAAAAGGTGATGCTGTGCCTTCTTGTTTCAGCTTTTATACCCTAAACTTGTGTCCTTTTTGTGGTCTATTTAATGCCACATTTTTCACATTTTTGTGGTTTTGGTGGTGATTTTGCTGTTTCAAGTAGTCACTAAGTGTAGTGTTGAAGCGAAGTGCAAGAAGGCTGTGATGTGCCTTATGGAGAAAATACGTGTGTTAGATAAGCTTCATTCAGGCATGAGTTACAGTGCTGTTGACAGTGAGTTTAATGTTAATGAATCAATAATACATATTAAATAAGGTGTCTTTAAACAGAAACACACATAAAACATGGTTATGTGTTGGTCAGTTGATGAAAATCTGACCAGAGGCTCATGGAAATCTACCCCTGTTTCCCCTAGGCACAATGATTCAGTATTCTCTAAGCGTTTGCAGCAACTTCTTAGAATATAACTACCGTGAATAATGAGAATCAACTGTATTTTATCTTCTTTGACAGTCATAGAATCATTGTTTAGATATCGTTCTAGATCTTCTCTCATGTTAAACTCTTTCATCCTACTTGCCTCCAATTTTACTAAAACTATTGGAAACATCTTGTGCTTTCATATTTGTGATCATCCTTTATGATTTTCATTCTCGTATCTTGGCCTCTATTTATAGTAATTTCTTTCCTAAAAGTTTCAGAGCTACAGCTGTATGCCTCTTTAGTCTTTTACTTTTAAGTTTTTATTATAGAAAATTTCCAATGTATGCCAAAGTAGAGAGCACTGTATAATGAACCCCTATGTACTCATCACTCAACTTGAAACAATTGTCAACTCCTGATCAATCTTATTTCATCCCTATATACCCTAATACAATCCCCTTTACCCTCCCCTTCCCACCCTAAATTGCAGATCTGTTTTGAAATAAATCCCAGATGTCATGCAATTTCATCTGAAAATATATCCCTTATTACAATGCCGTTTCGATGAGGGTATTAGAGGTGAATGGCCATTACAAATTTGCAGAAATAAAGAAGAGGAATCAAATCTAGCCCTGTCATTATAATACCCTACTTTCCCATCTCTGGAGGGACCCAGAACCTGTTCTTTTTTTCTCTTTTATGTCTAGCATCCACAATTTTTGCCACTTGACTGGCTTCATATATTTTTTTATATCTCAGAAATCATCAATAACCTCATATGTAAAAATCTTCACTTAGATCTCCTACTCTTTCCCATCTCAATGGCATTTGGCCACCTATTGTTTCTTAAAATATGATCCTTCTTTGAATTCTATGGTCCTGAAATATGATGATTTCCTCCTCTCCTTCTCCAAGTACTCAGTTCTGTTTCCTTCTCCTTTTTCTCTTCCTCTCCTTAAGCCTGACTATCCCTCAAGACTCAGGTCTTACATGAAATTTTTCTCTGCTCTCTATATACTCATTCAGAGAAGCTGTCTTTTCTCTGAACTCAGCTGTCACTTGAATGACTTCCAAATCTACCTCTCCAAAATTAACATCTTGTCCAAATTTAGTCTCACATTTTTACCTATTTTAAAACCATTTCCATTCACATGTCTTAAGGTCTTAGTATAAGACTAAAAGTTGTATATGTGCCATCTCAAACTCAACAGTCATCATGAATTGTTAACTAATTTTCCATTTTTACATTTCTCATTTATGTGATTGGGTTTCACTAGCCTTGGAGTCTTCTTTTACTCTTATATCTCCTTCACATGTAATCAACTCAATTCTAAGATATCTTCCCCTTTTACCATATCTTCCAGATTTATCTCTTTTGTCTCTATTCCTTCTGTTAACATCTTAATCTATTCCTTCATTACTTCATATCTTGATCACTACAATTGCTTTCTGGTTTGGTTTCTTCTAATTTTAAAAGATTCTGTTACATGCATTCCTGAATAAAATGTCTATTCTGTTTCTCACCAAATCACTCACTAAAAATAACAGGATTTATGGGAAAAATAGGGTAGAAACAGATCAACAGACCCCTCAAAGGCTATGCAATGTTGTAACTAGAGAACCAACAAAAAAAAATAATTGTACCTTGAAAAATGACTTGGACAGTGTAGGCAGGCAGAATGCACAGGGGGCTGGTGGCTGATTTAGGGGATGTTAAAAATGCACAGAAACAATAGAGTGGAAATACTGGCTTGCCAAGGCTGAGACAATGAGCAGAGGAGGAAGTACAACGTGCCAGAACCCCAGAACTAAGTGAGGCTGCAGTGTGCCTCTCTGGTGGGGGCGTCCTGGGCACAAGCACTCTTTTAACATTTTCTTAAAATAGATCCCCAGAGGCTCCTGCCTGCGCATTAGCTAAGTTGAGAGCTTTTCTCTTTTCTTCTGAAGATTATAATTCTATTCCCATTACTCTGGCTCCCTTGCCTAAGACAAAGCACATATAAACCATCGTAACTTCCACTTGATACTGACATAGTTTCCCTATTCACCAATTGCATGTGAGCTAACTAGTGTTAGCAGAACAGTCTAGATCTTTCTCTATTTAATATTTACTGGACTCACCTTACTTTTCAGCTTGTAATGCTGTTAGATCCACTGCTATCTTTTTGCTTTAATTGCTTTATTCTTCGACTCTTTTACTCCTGTCTCTCAAACAGATTTAAGCTTCGTTGTCTCTGGCATCTTCTATTTCTTCATCCTAATCTGCCCTGCCTTCATATAGGCTTGGGTTTCAATTATCAAAATGCTTTAATCATTCAAATAGCTTCATATGGTACATCTTATGTCTATAAGCAGACTGTACGCTCCTTGAGGGCAAGGCCTGTGTGTTTACACTCTTTTTACATCTCCTATCACATATGAAGGTGTAAGTAAATACTTATCAGTTAATTGATTTAAAAATTACAAACACATTATCTCAAAGTCAGTTATTATTAGTATTAGTTAATATTTTTATAGGGACAAAAGAAAATTCACAAGGAAGTTAGTATAACATTAAGGGAAAAAAGCATGAGCTTCTGAGTCTCATCACTCTGGATTCAAATTCAATTCTGCCACTGAATAGCACGTGACATCAGGCAAATTATTTAATTTCTATGGGTTTTGGTTTCCTTATTGCTAAAATGGAAAAAATGAAACCCAACTCCATGTTTTGTTGCCAGAATTACAAGAGTTAAGGAGATAATATGTTAACTAATTAAGAGCTTCATAGAGTGCTGAACACTTAATGGGTGGACCCCAAGATTTTGAGGAAAGATCAGCCAGTACATTTGGAGTATACAAGTCATAAAGAATTGGAATTTGTAGTTTTATGTATGTATTTAATAAGTTCTGTTTTGCACCAGGCTCTATGCTAAGCACTTTACATTCACTGTCTTCCATAATCTTCAAAATTATTATCAAAGGTAGGTATTATTAAGAACATTACAAATAAGTAAATTAAAGGTCTCAGCCAGCTTGGAAGGGACAGACTTGAGATTTAAACCTCGGTGTCTGACTCTAATGTTTGTGCTTTTTATCAGTAATAGACTCTTCACCCTTCTTTGGGGAGCTATGTCACACTCATAGAGTACGGGGAGTTATTTTGTCAGATGCACTGGATAAGTTAAGAGTATTCTTCTCCAAAGACATGGAGCCTTTAATCTCAATGTACTGAACCCTGAAGCTAAGCCAATTTTCTGGGTGGTGGAGGTCCTCCTTTATGTGAATTACTGACTTAGACAGAGGGATCACTTCTGCATTTGAGCACACTGAAGACTTTTGAAGCGCCCCCTTTCATTAAACTCAAGTTAGAAAAGTAGCAAATTCCTCTGTAATGAACTGAATTATTAATTACTAATCTCTCCCTTCTCCTTTAGGGTGACTCTGGAGGACCACTGGTTAGTCCAGATGCTAGAGATATCTGGTACCTTGCTGGAATAGTGAGCTGGGGAGATGAATGCGGGCAACCCAATAAGCCCGGTGTTTATACCAGAGTGACTGCTTTCCGGGACTGGATCGCTTCCAAAACTGGTGTCTAAGAGAGAAAAATCCAGTAGAATGGAATGCATTTTTGTGCATAGGCCATTCTTAGAGATAGAATTACAGCAGAAGCCTTGCAGGTCACCTGGATCTGACCGATCTAACTAAACTGTCTACTTGATGCATATACTTCCTTTCTAGCTCTGCTTCACACTGAGTATCCTGCTGCTGCCAGATGGATTCTGTCCCAATTTGCATTTCTTTGTTTTATAGAAGTTTTCTGTCATCAAAATTTTGGCTTGTTGACGTAAATTTCTCATGCATAAATACAATTTGAAGTGACCCCTTCTTCGTTTCCCCAGCTTCTCTCATCTCAGTAGATTTCTATTTTCAAGGTACAGGACAAAGAGTGAAAGGAAATCTAAAAATGAAAGAACTACATTTTGATGTACAGGAAAGTATTTGGTGTGTTTTTTGTTTTAATGGAATGAGGAAAATGATCATATTTATTATGAAAGGCCAAGTAAACAGACAGTAAAATACCAAATACTTCATGATGGAGAAAGAATGGGAAATAAGTTAAGGAAATACAGAGAAACCAAGAAATAGCTTTATTTTCACTTCCAGAGAACAACTAGAGAGATAAATGTGGGGAAGATTCTGTTTTCTTGTGGCCTACAATAGTTATATGAACTTTATATAATGTACTTGTTCTAAATTAAGGCAAATAATATTTATTTAGCATTGCACTGTTGAGGATATCAACATATAATAATAAAAAATGAATAAATCACCTATTTGCTTGACATTATAATATGACAATCCATGAAGAAGGGGAAGATGGGGAAAATGTCACTAATTAATTTATTGCAAATTCTTTTAAAATCTGAGGCTAGAATGACAATTCATTTAAGAACAACCAGCATACCTTACGTGGTAGGATTTTTGTGTGGTTGAATGAGAGGGAATGAAGAGAGAATCAGTCCAAACTATGAATGAAATGGGATTATCACTAAGTGCTTGCATGTTTGTATTTTAAGCTTTCCCAAACTGCAAAGCCTTGGTGGAATAAGGTCCAGGTGTTAGTGTGTAGCTGTAGTCACGCAAATGAACCTAGACCTCAGACCTCCATTTTGAGATGATTGCAGATCCCTCCCCACCCCCTCTACCCCTACCCCCTGGGTCTCTTAGACTCCTCTGGGCTCAGATGGGAAGGCTTTATAGGGAATTTATTCTGGAAGCTGCCTTCCTGCTAGGTCTAGTATGGCACTGAATTGCTAACCGCTTGGATATAAAACTGAAGAGTAAAAGCCTAATATCAGCCACCTTCATAATTTTAGTGTTGGTAAATTACTTTTGAGTTGTTTGTTAGAGACACAACATGCAAGTGATCCAGGCCATTATGAAGGTAGGACAGGTGCCACGACATATGCCATGTTAATGGCGAGATTTGACTGAATCTTGCCCTTCCCCTTTCTTCATTGTATACAGCTACTCATGCAAGTTCTGTATTGCACCATAACCACCTTGACAATCAACATTATTGGGAAAAATTTGACTTTTATTGACCCAAATAATATTGCCATATGAACTGATAAAATTTCGATGCTTGGCTAAAATGAGATATGAAAACTGACATGAATTGATAGTGTTAAATAGTTTACATAAACTATTTTTGTTCCATTTAATGAAAGCTTCTGGAAAAAAATTGAGGCAAGTGATCAATTTTCAACAGAGATTTAAGTACTTTTCAAACTAAATTACTCTGTGTTCAACAAAAAATTGATTCCCCTGTTTCAGTATATTCTGCAGTTGGCCTCTAGGTGGCACCCGCAAGCTGTAGGACGATATAGAGAAGACAAACGTCTGGATCTTCAAGTAATAATGAAAACTATAGTAGAAATTCTTTATTGGGGTCTTGTAAAACCAAAAGAATACAATTAATCTCTGTGAAGGCATTTAATAATTAATACATATAAAATGACATCATTATTAGTGTTTTCCAGATTTCTAGAGGTGAGTTTCCAAACTAAAATAAAATTTATAACATATGATAAGAGGAATTTCCTCTGCAAACAAACTTGGAGAGATTTAAATGAAGGAGAAGTTTTAGAAGTTTAATTTCACAATGGCATACATTTCTCATAGGAGTATTTTTTATATTTTCTTTGACAAAAGATTTGAGAAATAGAGGTTGGGTCACAGTGAAAATACAAGCAATATTTCAGACTTGATGTGCACAGAGAAACAGATCATACAGTATCATATTTTTTAAATGACAACTTCTTTTGAAAGATAACGTTTAAAAGGTTTCAACATTCTTGGACATGTCTGTTTTAACCATTTCATTGGAGAAAGTTAAGAAGTCATAACTGAAAGAATATTTATTAATTTTACAAGAGGACAGGCACTTCCTCTTCTATATCTTTTATGACTCTCTAGTAAAATGCTCTGTATATAATAGTCTTTCAATAAATGTTGTTGAACTATTCTTTTATTTTTGTATTATGCAGAAAACATAGCTTTATTATTGTTTACATATTGATTTTAAGAAGTAATCCCAGAATTTACACTAACTGTGTGACTTAAGCCAGTTATTTAAACACTCTAAGCTTCAATATACTCATTTATAACACAGGGCTAATAATACTTACCTCAAATGATTGTTGTAGGGATTAAAATGAGATAATGATTGAAAGTGCTTACTTAGCACAGTTCATAGAACATAGTAGGTGCTAGAAATGGTAGCTTTTATAACTGTTGTAATTAAACTACGGTCTTGTTTGAAACAATTGGTACTTCATCATAAGAGGTTGAATAAATATTTTTGAAATAAAGAGATAATTAGACCAACAGAATGGGCTGGTTCCTTGTTTAATTCTGATTCTACACGAGAAGTTTTATTGGGATCATTTTAAAACATATTGTCAAGTTGTTCTCTGTTATTCTATTTTTTCATTTCAACTTCTAAAAATGATAAACTTTTTTAACCATAAAGTGGCTGGATTATATCAAGATCTACAGTCTAGTTCAAATGATGCCTCCTCCATGAAGCCTTCCTTCAATCCCTTAAGGGGACATAGCATCCTCTTTTCTGAAATTCCTTAACAATTAAAAAAAAACTTTTTTATTTTCAGATAATCATAGATTTACATACAGTTGTAAAATATAATACAGAGAGGTCCCATGTATCCTTTATCTAGTTTCCCGCAGTGGTAACATCTTGCTTAACTATGGTACAATATCGCTACCAAGAAGTTGACATTGAGACCATCCATCAACCTTATTCAGATTTCTTCAGTTTAAAAACATGCAATTATGTGTGTATGTATTTAGTTCCATGTAATTTGATCATGTGTGGATTTGTGTGACCACCTATACAGTCAAGATACGGAATAGATTGATTACAAGCATCCCTCATGCTACCCACAGCCCTGGCTCCCTCCCAATCTCTGTTTCCAGTCTCTGACCCCTGGTAACCACTAATATGTTCTATATCTCTATTATTTTGTCAGTTCAAGAATGGTATATAAATGGAATCACACAGTATGTAACCTTCAGAGGTTGGCTTTTTCACTCAGCTTAATTCATTGTGATCAATCCAAGTTGTATGTGTCAATAGTTCATTCTTTTTTTTCATTGCTGCATAGCATTCCATGGTACGGATGCACCACAGTTTGTTTAACCATTCATTCATTGAAGGGCATTTGAGTTGTTTACAGTTTTTGGCTATTATGGATAAAGCCACTATAACATTTGTGTGTAGGTGCATAGGTTTTTGTGTGAACATAAGTGTTTGTTTCTCTGGGATTAACGGCCTAGAGTGTATTAATGGTATGGTAAGCACAAATTTAGTTTTTTAAGAAAATTCCATACCCTTTTCAGATAGCTTCTTACCATTTTTTAACCTTTCTATACTTACACTCTCTCCCCATGTTTTTTTAGACGTGTATGAATAGATCTGATTTCAACAACTAGAGTATAAGCTTCATGGCAGTAGGGACCATGACTGATTCATTTTTATAACCTTCAGAGGTCATAGGAAAATATATTACTTATGGCACATGCTCAATAAAGATTTATTAAATACTGAGTGAAGATAGTAATAAAATCAAGCAAACATAACAATATATATAAAATGAAAAAAAAGAAATTACTTTGGGTAGAAAAAAATTAAGAATATTACCTTCAAGAGTGTATTATGTCCTCATTTCTATAGTTTTGGACTTTATCACAGTACCTGCAACTATCTCATGTTGGTTCATATAAAATCTTGGTTTCCACTTTCCCACATGGTACACAATCAAACACACACTAAAGACATGGTCTATGTGATGATCCTGTCTTCATGCCTGAATTTATTTCCCAATACATAGTATATTTAACGGTTTTCTGACACATCTGTATCAGTTTCTACACTGTACTTGTGGAATGGATTCCAGTATAGGGATATACTCAATAAGTATTTGTTGGTCATAATTTTTACAACCATGACTCTAATTTGTTTGTCCTAATATAATTTTTATTATACAGTTCTCAAGGTGGAGTGAAAGACAGAGGCCTGTGAAATGCAGTTAGAAGGTCTGCTTTAGTTAATGTTGATCCATTAATCAATACCGCTTTGCAGAGCTGTATCCAGCATAAATAAATTCCACAATCAGTCACTGTAATCACTGTCTTGCATATATCCTGACTCCTGCACTTATTTCTTACTTCATCACTCTGTGACACTTGCTTTTTACCACAACGCTGATAAAATCCAAATCTCCACCTACTCTTTTCCTATACCAACATATTTGGAGAAAAATATGCAACCATACTGACTGGTCTACCTTCAAATTCATGATCACAAACCTCCAGATACTTCCACACCATCATATTATGCTTCTCTGTTCACTCTCTCACTCTCCTAGATGTATATTTCACGTCTATTCCTCTCCTCAACTCCCCTGCACCTCCTTATCCAACCCCATTCTCCACTGATGATCTTGCTTCTTACATCCTTCAGTGAAAATTGAAGCATCTGAAGAAAACTCACACCACCTCTACTCACTCACCAGCAGCTGCCCCTGCACACTTGGCCTCCCTACCTGTTGTCCAGGTGCTCCCATCAAAAGCCAATCCCTCCACGTGCACACTAGATACTATCTTCTCACCTGCTTAAGGAATTCCCTCCAGCAACTCTTCCCTCCCTCTCCTATATGGTCAACTTCAACTTTTCTTTTTCTTATTTCCTTGATCTTAAAACAAATGAACAAACGCCAAAAAAATTGTCTTGACCCCACTTTTTCTACCAGTTGCTGCCCCAAGATTTTGCAGGAAAACTTCTTGAAAAACTTGAAAACTTGATCTGTATTTACTGTCTCCTACAACTCTTCTTCCATTATTCCTTAAGCATATTTCAATCAAACTGTGGCCCCA